CTATCTCCAATAAACCACCAGAAAACCGGAAGTGGCGCTGTAGCTCAAGTTGTAGAGTGTTCGCCTTGAGCTGAAGAGCTGAGGGACAGCGCCCAGGCCCAGAGTTCAGGCCCCATGACCGACAAAACAACAACAACAATACTCGCCCCGGCGCCGGCTCCACCGCCTCCGCCGCGCGCAGGCGCGGCCCCGCCCCCGCCCTATTTTCAAACGCGCCCGGCTCTTCTATTGGCTGAGCCGCGGGCCACGCCCCCGATCTGTCCGCCGCGCCCGGGCCTCCCGCCCCACCCTCCGGCCGCGACTGGCTGGACCGGGACGCGAATTCGAATGCTGGCCGTGGATTGGCTAGGCCAGCGCGGCCTCGGGCCGCCCGGGTCGGTCCCGGTACCGCACGGTCGCTGCTGGCGCCGGCGGGCTGTCTGTGAAGCCGGTGCCGGGCTTCGGGTCCTCCGTGCCAGCGCGGGCGAGCTCCCGTCTGAGGACGGCTGACGGGCCGCCTCCGGCCGGGCCCCTCCGGACTAGCGCCTGACGCCCTGCCGCCGGCTTCCGGGAACCGGGCCCGGTGTCGAGACGCCGGGCGTTGGCACGAAGGCCCGGGCCTGTCTCCGTGGGCTCCCGCGGAACGCCTCCCGCCCGGTCCGGCACACTCGCTGTCCTCGCCGCCTGCAGGCCCGGCCCGGCCCCGGGAAGGGCGCAGTCGGCTGGGCTGGGCTGGGCTTCAGCTTCCCCGGCGCCCCACGCCCCAGCTCTTCATGAGACTCTGTACCCAAGGAAGAGACAGTCTTTGGGGACGGCAGGGGAGCTGAGCCCGGGCTCCCCCTTCTTCGCGATGTGGCCAGCCTTTGTCCCCCCACCCCCATCCTCTGTGTTCTCTGAACCCCCGGAGTACCTGGCCTGTGCTGGGTGTCCGGGTCCCGGCAGGCTGCAGCAGGAGGAAGGGAAGTAAACGGGTGTTCACAGCCCAGGGAGCAGGAGAGCCCCAGGGGTCCCCACTAGCAGAACTTGGTCCATGGGAGGTGCGACTCTTCCCTGCGCAGCTCAGGCCGGCCCCCTCCTCCATGCTCCTGGTTCCCAGGACAGAGAAAGGGAGGACGAGGAGGTGGGATCCTAGACTTCTCCCTTCCTCACTTTGTCCTCACTGTTGCTGCCCTCCTTCCTTGCACGTTACTTTGTCCCCAGAACAGAAATACTCTTCCAGTGTTTGCTTTTGGTAGTGTCTAGAAGAGATTAATAAATTCAACAAGTGATAAACAGCACCCTTAGTTTCGCAGAGCCCCTCCATGTGCCTTCAGCTCTACCTTCTTTTCTGCAGGGCTGAGGGACTTGCACTTTCCAGGCAAGTGTTCTTCCACTTAGCTAAATCAACCTCTACCTTTTTTTTTTTGGACAGTCTTGAGGCTTGAACTCTGGGCCTGGGCACTGTCCCTGAGCCTCTTTGTGGGCAAGGCTTGTGTCCTACCACTTGAGCCACACAGCACCACTTGCGGCCTTTTCTGAGTAGTTTATTGGAGATAAGAGTCTGACAGACTTATCTGCCTGGGCTAGCTTTAAACCAATCCTCAGATCCCAGCTTCCTGAGTAGCTAGGATTAAGTAGCTAGACCACAGGCTGGCATGAGCCACCAGCACCTGGCTCCCATCTTTTTCTTTATACCCTATTCATTTTCTTTTATTCTGAGGCAAAAAGTCCTTTTTGCTTTTTGTGAGAGGGTATCACTATGTAGCTCAGGCTGGCCTGGAACTGGACAATGCCTATCTCTGTGCTGTGTTTTGTAGGAATTGGGTATTCTCTTGGCTACAACTATAATGATGCTACAGCTATGCTTCCAGGGCCCCCAGCAGTGGAGTCCTCAGGGCCAAACTGGGGCATGGGTCACTCTTAAAGGTTGTGACATGTGTCCATTTCCCATTGGGCCTCAAGATATGAGAGAACTCGGGGAAAACCTCAGTTCTTTGGAGTTCAGGGAAATTTCTGGCAGAATAACGAAGCAAAGACCAGAAGAGCAGCCAGTCCAAATATTATAGTAAGGAAAAATAGGACCAGGCCTGCTGGTATAGTGATTTCTGCACTGGGGAGGCTGAAGGAGTTCCAGGCCAGCCTGGGCTACATAGAGAAACATTGTCTCCAAAACAAACTAAATAAATAAGAGTCTGGAACTTGAGGACCTCCATCACTCAGAGTAGAGGAGCCTGGGGTGGGTGGAGGCCCAGGGAGGTTTTTCCCACAGAAAACGCCACAGAGCAGCCAACTTGGGAAAAAAAGGCCCAGGAAGACATTTGGTGTGGCCACAAGAAGTGCGCTGGTGCTCAGGGAGTGGGAAGCTTAGCTGAGACGTGGCTGCCGCACTGGGGCTGTCTGAGCACTTGTTGTGGGGTTAATGACAACGTGACTTGCTGGTCCTTCCCCCCCCCCAGCTTCTACTCAGAAGATCTAGAGTGGGGCTCAAGGAACTACATTGCTTTTTATTCTAAATATTGAAATACCGAAAAGCTATGATTTAGGTTAGTAAATGTGTCAATATGCTGTCTTCTCATAGGGTGGATTTGGACAATATGGTTGAAGTAGGAAGGGCAAAAGGGAGAGGTAGAGAGGAGGACGATCACCCCTTCCCCCCCACCAAGACTAATGTTAGCTACTAAAATTCAAAAATATGTTCTCTCCTCCTACCTTCAGAAACACCACAACCTGAAAACACGTGTGGATTTAGAATTCATGGACTCTGTGAGATTCCACTCAAATGCAGTCCAGCCTGGTCTATGGTCACCCTTTTCTGTTACAACCACGGCAGGCCATGCACACCTGAGCTGACCTGCACTAGGATCTTTATTATAGTAGGATAGTGTTTGAGGAAGGGGGAGGATGTAAGGGGGGCTGAAACAGATGCGTGGGGAAAATGGAAAGATGTGAGGAGGAAGGTGAGGAGGGCTGAGCAGGTGGCGGGGGAGGCAGTGAGAGGGAGGAGTCTGCTTGCGCTTGGTCTTTTCTTTGAGTGGGTTGTATAGGGTTGGTAAAACTCAGGAAGACATCCTCCAAGGAGACCTGATTGATGGAGTAGTCTTCCAACTTGTACTTTCTCTTGGCTTTCTCCAGACTCCCAAACACCTGTGGAAGGGAGAAGGAGGCTACTGTAAACAGGCTGGTCTATAGGTGCTAGGATGTCCGTAGGGTGGGGACAGGGCCAACCTTTGTACTTGTAACAAGACATCCAAAGGCTGTTCCTTCTCTTTGGTATTCTATAGCACTTCTCAAGAAGTCAGTCCATGGAACTCAGCTGTCTGATCCTAGGGTTGGACTCTGCCAGAAAGGCAGAGGCTGACCTGGGGTGCCTGGCTTGCTATGTGATCCTGGTCATGTGGTACCTTCTGTGGGCTGCTCTCTACTTTGTAAAGCCTAAGGGAGGGGGAAGCTAACATCTGAGGATTATGGTCTAGGAATCTGCATGAACATGGCCATGGAGACATCAGCACACATCTGACATCAAGGCACATCAGCCAACTTCTACCTGAGAGACAGACTGAGGTGCCCAGAAAGTGGGTGAAATAAAAGGGACACTCACCTTTGACAAGCAAAGGTTGTGTCCAGGTAAGTGGTAACAGACCAAGCCCTGGTGCTCATCTTCCAGAACGCTGCCTGCACCAAAGAGACCAGGTGTCAGTGATGGCTGGGCTGGAGGAACAGGGAGGGCAGCCTGGGGGACAGGACCGTGGTCCTCATGTCAGGGCCAGGCGTGTGGGACGGACTCTGGACAGCAGCTGGCAGGGCCAGACAGGGCCCAGGGCCACCCAAGAGCACTGCCAGACACCACACACACCTGGGAAGGTCAGGTCCACGAACGCCTTGAACTCCTCCAGAGCCTCCTGCTGCCCTTCGCTGTGGACCTTGGCCTGCAGGGAGTAGCCGCTGCCAAACTTGCTCTTGAGGTGCTGCGGGCTGCCCACACACTTGAACTGGCCCTGCACCATGATGGCCAGCCGGGTACACAGCGCCTCGCACTCCTCCATGCTGGGCAGAGGGACACAAGTGTGACTCGGGGCTGGGGGAGGCTGACCCCCATCTGGGTGTGAAGGGCCTGTGCTGACGGGATGGTGACTCAGACCAGCCCATTCCTGATTCCCGTGCTCAGCGCAGACCCTGTGCAGGGCCTGGGGGATATCCTGGCTGAGTCTGTGCCCGTGGCCAACAGGTCTTCTGCTCCCCGACCTCTTCCCAGCCACCCCTGGCTCTCCACGGACGCAGAGACCCAGGATCTACCTGTGGGAGGTGATGACGATGGCCTTGCCAGACTCCCGGGCCCGGGCCACTGTGTCCCACAGCAGGCGTCTGGCCACGGGGTCCATGCCAGTGGACGGCTCGTCCAGGAAGATGACTGCAGGCTCTCCAATGAGGGCGATGCCAATGCTCAGCTTTCGCTTGTTGCCGCCGCTGATGGGAGAGGGGGAGGAGGAGTCATGGAGAATGGTCATCTGCAGTGGTGAGTCCTTCTGGTCAAATACCTACTATTCCTTCCACTATACCCTGCAGGGCCACTGAGCTAAACCATGCCCTCCAACATGAGTCAGTGAGTCTCTTTGAGGGATATTGGGGGGAGGGGCACTTCCCAATCTGCTAACAAGGATATAGGACCATTTTATGTAACTTCTGATCCTCCTCTCCTTCTCCCACCCCCCCCCGCCCCACCCCGCCCCTGCCCCCCCAAGTCCTGGGGCTTGAACTCAGGGTCTGGGTACTGAGCTTCTTTTGCTCAAAGCACTCTACCACTTAAATCACAGGGTCACTTCTGGCTTTTTCTGCTTATATGGTGCTGAGGAATCAAACCCAGGGCTTCATGCGTGTCAGGCAAGCACTCTACCACTGAGCCACCTTCTGGACCCTTTATGTAACGTTTTAAAAAGTTGAGACATCTGGGGCTGGGAAGGTGGCTCAGTGGTAGAGCGCTTGCCTTGCCTGCATGAGGCCCTGAGTTCACTTCCTCAGCAACACATAAGCAAAAAGAAAAAAGCCGGAAGTGGCACTGTGGCTCAAGTGGTAGAGCACTAGCCTTGAGCTGAAGAGCTGAGGGACAGCGCCCAGACCCAGAGTTCAGGCCCACGACCGGACCCAAAAAAAAAAAAAGTTGAGACATCTGGATGCTGGTGGCTCACGCCTGTAATCCTAGCTACTCAGGAGGCTGAGATCTAAGGATTGCGGTTCAAAGCCAGCCCGGGCAGGAGAGACCGTGAGACTCCTATCTCCAATAAAACCACCAGAAAACCGGAAGTGGCGCTGCAGCTCAAGTGGTAGAGTGCTTGCCTTGAGCTGAAGAGCTGAGGGACAGCGCCCAGGCCCAGAGTTCAAGCCCCACGACCGACCAA